TCCTACCACATATACTATGCAAAAGAAGCAGTAAGTAATTAAAATTTTCTCTCATCCAAACAAGACTATCTTTAAATTAGTTTTCAGCATAATAGCTGTCTAACACTTACATTTGTGTGGTTTTCTTCAGATGAAAGGTCTAGTTAGAGCCTACTTTGTGGAAGCAAACTGGTTTAACACCAAGTATATGCCTACATTTGAGGAGTACTTGAGCATTTCTGTGATGAGCAGTGGTTATCCTATGCTGGCTGTTCAATCCCTTGTTGGCATTGGAAAGATTGCAACTAAGGAAGCCCTTGATTGGGTGCTTAATGTTCCCAAAATTGTGGAGTCTTGCGCACTAATTGCTAGGCTTGTTGATGACATCCAAACTCACAAGGTACCCCACAATATATTGAGGTCAAATAATGATTCTTAAATATCAGCCTATATTCATAACTTATATAACTAGTTCGGCAGTTATAAAACTATTTTATGCAAATGATTTTAAAAATTTTACTACCATGTTACCCAATTTTCAATATGTGTCGGTTTATATTCTCGATACTATTATGCTACAAGTGATACAGTTACGTTTCTTAATGTCTAACTCAAATATGAACCGAAATCTTCTGTCAACGTCTTTTTATACCATTCATCTCAAGTCATCTTTGTATCACACAATTGATCTCTCTAACATTGTCATGTGATAGAGAGAAAACAAGAGGGCATAAGAGATTTGAACAAAAGATCCCTAGCAAAATACAGTAGGACAATATTTCTTTTGACCTAAGTATTGTTAACACTAACAGTGCTGAAAGAAAATGCAAGAGCTTTGCTATGCTTATATGAGGCATCACATTTAAGGGTTCAAGGGGAAGATATATTGGAAGAAGCATTGAAATTTACAAGCAAGCACTTGAGGTCTATGTTAGCCCATCTAAACTCTCCTCTCTCTGAGGAAGTTACGCACTCGCTAGAAGTACCTCTCCACAAAGGAATGCCCAGATTAGAGGCCAGGCACTACATCAATGTCTACCAAGCTGATTTAGCAAGAAATTCTGCTTTGTTGGAGCTAGCAAAGCTGGATTTCAATCTTTTACAAAGGTTGCACCAGAGAGAAATAAGTGACATCACAAGGTGACTTTATTTATTAATTAGCTATGGTTATCTTATACGGCTTGGTTTGTCTACAATCTATTATTTAGATTAGATCAGTGCCTGTGGCCATCACAAATCTTGTTCTAATGATTTGGTCTTTGTATATAGATTATTTATGAAACAAATCAAATTGATATGACAATTATAGTCATATAATTTAATTATATTTATCTTTAAAAAATAAACATAATGTATAATTTTAAAATTAGATTGTTGACTACTTTAAAGACACGTCATTAAATCTTCACATTTTCTTTATGGAAATTTCAATGTAATTTTTGTTTAATTTTTTTTATCTTTTGTTGATAATCTAATTTTTCAGGTGGTGGAAAGAGAAAGAGATTGCAACAAAGTTACCTTTCGCAAGGGATAGATTGGTGGAGTGCTACTTCTGGATATTAGGGGTTTATTTTGAGCCCAAGTACTCTGTTGTTAGAAGCTTTATGACTAAAATAATAGCATTAGCTTCTGTCATAGATGACATTTATGATGTGTATGGTACCCCTGAAGAACTTCAGTTATTTACAGATGCAATAGAAAGGTATGTGTGCAATTTTAATCCATGATGTCCCAATAAAAATTACAATTGTACTGGCTACTTCTCGATAAGTATCAGTTTATAGCAGCTTAATCATGAGCTAATTTACAACCAAAATGGCTAGTTCATAGTTGATCATTACACCTGGTTCAACTGCTTGCAACTGGTGGCTTTAAAATTCACACCCACGACACTAGATTTTTATATATATCACTTGATACTTCTGATACCGTTACACCGTGATTGATATTAATACGTCTTCTTCTGATTAAAAACATGACATCACTAATTTCATAGGTGGGAAGAAGCAGCTATCAGTGATTTACCTGAATACATGCAAGTTTGCTTCGAGGCACTCTCAGATGTCATGAAGGAAATGGAGGACAAGATAATGACCCACGAGGGGAGATCCTACCACATATACTATGCAAAAGAAGCAGTAAGTAATTAAAATTTTCTCTCATCCAAACAAGACTATCTTTAACTTAGTTTTTCAGAAAAATAGCTGTCTAATACTTACATTTGTGTGGTTTTCTTCAGATGAAAGGTCTAGTTAGAGCCTACTTTGCGGAAGCAAACTGGTTTAACACCAAGTATATGCCTACATTTGAGGAGTACTTGAGCATTTCTGTGATGAGCAGTGGTTATCCTATGCTGGCTGTTCAATCCCTTGTTGGCATTGGAAAGATTGCAACTAAGGAAGCCTTTGATTGGGTGCACTGCTGGAAAAATGATTTTTAGCGGCGTTTTAAAAACGCCGCTATATGTATGAAAAACGCCGCTAATTCCTTTAGTGACGCTTATCACCAAACGTCGAGGACGCAGCCGTCGCTATAAGTTTATGACGCTTTAAAAACGTCGTAAAATTAATATAGGCGGCGTTTTTAAAAACGCCGCTAAATGCGTTAAATAATGATAAAATGACGTCATCCAATATTTAGCGACGTTTTTAAACCGCCGTAATAGATTTTTTTATTTTAAAAAAAATATCCGTTGGCACTGTAGTGGCGTTTTGAAAAAACGCCGTTATAGCTCTTTCTTTAAAAAAAAAATTGTTCTGAATCTATTATATTTAACTAAAAAACATACCTGTAATAAAGCTGAAAAAAAAATAATAATATGAATAAAATTTTACAACTACTTCAATATATTGACTAAATAAACATTACATGATTGTGTCTGAACCAAAATCAAACAACAAACACAATCAAAAAAGAAAAAGAAAAAATAGGTTAAGTCAGACCCAATCTACCCCTCCTAACACCCAATAATTAGGGATAGGAATGGAATGAAATCCAAAATACTAGGGGAGTTGCTATTTGCACAAGCAATTCTTCCAAGTACAACCACCTTAATGGAAGTTCCCTTCTGAAACATAGATCCACTGTAGAACCCATACCCTTCCATATTGAAGCAAATTCAACATCAATGTACCTAAAAACAAGAGAAAAATATGTCATTTAAAATTCATAAGCATGCCAAGAAAAATCAACACAGCAGATAGATAATATAGACAAACCCTCCCCCAAGTATGACAGCACGCTTAGGTAACTCTTCCAAGCTCAAGGCTTCGTCAGAGGTTATAGCTAACTCCTATAATGCCAACCAAAAAATAACAAAACAAAATAAGTAGTTAGATAAAGATGGGAGAAAAAATATGCAAGATAATTATATAACACCAATAGTGGATGGTTTCACTCTTTTCAAGTAATTTATCAGTTAAAAATGTTTGTAGTGGTGTTCCCAACAAAAAGTGCACATAAAAGAACAGCCAAGCTAGAAACTATTAAATGTTTGTTCAACATCTTTGCATCATATCACATGTGCTGTATAATAGTTCACTTCACTGATAATGAAATTGTGGAAACATGTCATTTAACCCTCACCCCCTTATATTTCTTGTTTCATTAATCAAGCTAGTTTATTTCTATCCTGCTGAGAAAACTTTATTCTCTTGGAGTTGAGATATCAAGTCTGCGCGATACTGTGAAAAGGAATCGCATTGAACTTGGATTGTTGAAACGAGCAAAAACTCTATCCACAATTATTGAAGCCCATGTAAGCATACATTAATATCTTGGATAAATGCTATTATTTATTCGATTGATGAGGACATATCCTATGTTATCATTTTTGTGTTTAATTGCTAGTTAGTTCCCTGTCATCCAAACATCTCTCAAATGTGACTCTGCTGGCATAGACATATATTGTTATGTATTGTTATGACTTGCTAGTTAGTTTTGTGTTTAGATTAGTTTAGCCTGTATTGTTATGTACTCCCCAAACTGTAATTACTGAAGTATAGATGTAATAGAAACAAAGAAACAATACAAACACAAGCAAATAAAAACAAACACAAGCAAGCAAGATAAATAATAGCACTATTATGATGCTACTAAGAGAACGGGAAGGAGGAACCTGGTTCTAGATCAACATTTTATTATGTAATTCCTTTTCAATCAATAAATCAATGACAAACCTGTTCCAGCCAAACCCAGCTTTGGCTGATGACCTTCAATACAATATTGTGAAAAATTATAACCAAAGATAGATGAGTGATAGAAAAAAAAAAAAAAAAAATCAAATTTAAGTCAATACCCAAATTAACCAATAGACAGACTGCTAATCACTACTGAGTTCTCCAATTAATGTTTATCATCTAAATAAACCAAAATATATTTTGATACATAGAAATTGACATAAACCAATGTATCCTCATATTTAGAAGCATTATAGACAAAAGAATATAGCTCCAGAAAAGTAAGAGAAACCAAATTCAAGTAGATTCTCATCAGTGTATTGAGTAAACAAATCTAAATAGAGTTGTTCAATACAAATCTAAACAAGATCAAAAACAGAACAAACATGTAAACAAATATATTAGAACTTACCTCCAATGAGAAAGTTAGGGTTTCTTTTCTCACAAGAGTTGATTTTTTCCGTCACTGCCGATCAACGATTGGATCATTCGAGAGCCTGAAAACAAAATAAGGATGATTATTCAATTAATACATAGAGATACATATAAAAATTCATATATATACTTGTATAGAGAGTTTTTTAGGACAAAAAAATTATCCAAAAAAAAGTACAGATAATGTATACACAGAGAACGAGACTGTGCGAGAGAGAACGAGATCGAGAGAGAGGGAGACAGAGACAGGCAGAGATCGAGAGAGAGAGAAGAATCGACGAAACTGAGATTGGATTGAAATAAAACAAAACAAAACTAACCTGCCCTGAAAAAATAGAGTCATGAATAAGACAGAGCTGATCAAAGCTCCTTAGCTTCTATAGAGATCTGCAAGAACCACAAAGATCTCACCAACAAAAATGGCCATCATGGACAGACTAGCCGAAGTTGACTGTTTTGTACAAAAGCCATATATGCGTAACCAACCTAGACAGCCGGAAAAGCCATGGTTTCACAAGCTTCGAGCAACCTTTTCATACAGATCACGAGGCCAGTTCCTATTCAAATTGTTGGCAAGGAAATTCGCAATCTGCTGAGGGCAAAAAAAAAAACCTCACCATCATCAAAGTTCAAATGGAATATACTTCAAAGCAGATACCAGAAAGCTGGTTCAGCACCAAGAAAACTCATCATCAAAGTAAAGTTAAGACAGTATCTTTCATGAATGAGAAATGTTAGAACGGTTCTACTTTACGAATAAACATTCAGTTTCCATAGGCAGTGTTTCATCGTGGAAGAACATCATCATTATCAACAGTAAACAAGTCCAGAATAGCCATAAGTCATGACTAAAGTAGAAGGGCACCCAAATCAGACAATGAAAACAGAAAGAAAGTTCTACTTGTATTGCCAAACATACCTTGGTTCTCAGGGCACGAAGTGATCCATCTGACTTCTCATCAAAGTAACTATGACTTCTCATCAATAAGAGGGTACACTCTCAAGCTGTGTTTGGAACTTTGGATCAAGGATTTGTTGAAAAAGTTGGGTTACAGAAAAAGCATTTTTCAGAGTTAGGCATAACCAGCAATGGGAAATCAGTAACGGGTTCGCAAATGTAGTTATTGAAAATCAATTTTTGAACAGGTTAAACCTAATGTCAGAGGATAAAAAATAAACTTTATCAATATTATGTTTATTGAATGCCTATTGATAAAGTTTATGTTCACTTGCTTACTGGTCAGAGGCTGACAAAGTTTATTTTTTGCAGCCCCAAAAATTGTATAAGAAGTTTATTAAACAGAGTCATTCACATTAATGTAAACACCAAAAACAAAACAAACAAAAAAAAACCCACAAAGATGCAACTACAACCACCAAAATGTTACACAAACTTAGCAAACCCGTCATCAACTGGCTTCAACGCCTCCTTTGGGACCCTGATTGGTGCCCCCTTACCCTTGGCAGCCTTCATTGTCATAATTGAATGCCTTAAAAAGTAAAACAGCCTTAGATTAGAACCCAAAATCTACACAGTAATTTATTCCAGCAAACTATTTTTCAGTAACTAAACAGACAGAATCACAGATTTGAAGCTCAAATAACAAACAAGCAACAATCAAATTAAACTTCATAAACACAATCATATACATACATATACACACACACACACACACATATATATATATATATATATATGCAATTTGTATAGATCAAAAAGAAAGTAGAGAAACGAAACATACCTTGAAGATCAAAAAGAAAGTAGGCCACTGTCAGAAGTAAAGGTGTGGCCTGCCAAAAATATAAAAAAG